CTTTGTTCCGGCAATATTTCTAGTGCTTGCTGGGAGGGTGTTGAACAGCCGTGGACCTCTGATGTTCAGTGTTCTCTGATTGTGCCTATTTACTCTTTATTGGTTCTATTGAGCACTAGTATGTAGTTATTCTACTGTGCAAATTTTGGACCTGGTCTTCCAGTATCTTCCATGTTATTATTTGATACCTCTCTTATCTCTTTTTCCAGAGAATACATTTTGAAAGCATTTAGATGTCCCAATAATTTAGATGTTTTATCTTGTCTATGCGTGCCGTATATGTTCTCCTTCTAATTCAGAGATCTCCCCCTGCTCTGCAAGGGGAAGTGAGTACCGAGCAGTGCTCAAGACGGGACAGCACCAGTGATTTAAATAGTATTATCATCGCTGCAGGATGCTCCTCAGAATCCATTCTATCATTTTCCTGGCCGCCGCCGCTATATTTACTCGGTTATGAGCAGCAAACAGGTCGTCAGACATCATAATTCCCTCATCTTTTACATGTTGCTTTCCTTCTGTGAAAGAAGGAAAGCAACGTGTAAAAGACGTCTGATTGTTGATTGCAATTGTAATGTTGGTTACCTGGATATAACGTAAGACGATGCCACTTGTTAGCTAAATAAATAAATAAATAAATGTAAATACATGTTTATTCAGGTACATACATACAAGAGATTTTACATAAATTGATCTATTTATAGATAGAGCTAGTACATACAATGCCTAAAGCCACTATTACGCAAAGCGTTTCGAGCAGAGATAACAGGATAACAGGCTAATTTAGTTAAATCAAGAGGTTGTAGGCTGTTGTCTTCCTTCTCGTTGCAACTTTTGGTGTTGGTCGATATTCAGGCATTTATTTTCGCAAGAGCCCCTCTTTAGGTGGGGCCTTGGGGAGGTTGGGCCTTGGGGAGGTAGGGCCTTGGGGAGGTTGGGCCTTGGGACCTTGGGTAGAGGTGACCTTGGTTACATGGGACCTTAGGTAGAGGTGACCTTGGTTAGCTGGGGCCTTGGGTAGGGGTAGCGTTGATTAGGTGTAGATGTAATCTGGAAGTTGGCAGTGGTGTGGGGTTGTGGCAGGAGGTACCTCGGAATAACCGGTCTGTGAACTTCTCTTCCCCCGTGTACACGCCGTCGTCTGGGTGTTGTTGTAATGGCAGTCCCGGGGACGGTGGTGGGAGGTGTTGTATTGTTAGCGACGCCCGCGGTGATTGGCTGCTCTTGGCTAGGGGGGATAAGTACATCGCTCGCGTCCTGTTGTTCCGTTGATGAAGAACATCGCTTGCATCTGTACAGCTGTTCCGTTGATGAAGAACGTCGCTTGCATCTGTACAGATGTTCCGTTGATGAAGAACTTTACTCCTGTAAGGTGACATTTGGCGTAAGGCGGAGGGATTTATTGTGTATTATTTACGGAGGTATGATGATGCTGATGGAGGGGGGGGGGGTATGATGAGTGTTTGTGAAGTGTTTGGGTATGCTGCCAGTGTCATAACGTATTATATAAGCTCATTTGGGTTGGTTATCTCGAGATGATTTCGGGGCTTTAGTGTCCCCGCGGCCCGGTCCTCGACCAGGCCTCCACCCCCAGGAAGCAGCCCGTGACAGCTGACTAACACCCAGTTACCTATTTTACTGCTTGGTAACAGGGGCATAGGGTGAAAGAAACTCTGCCCATTGTATCCTGTGGGCCCGGGATCGAACCCGGGACCACTGGATCAGTGTGTGTTGTCCGTTCGGCCGACCGGCTCCACGTGTGTTGTGAAGTGTTTGAATCTATATCTTTTGGTCAAGAGGCGAGTCTTTTTTTCAGTACATGATAAGGGAAGGGGGTGGACTTAGCAAGTCTTAGTGCCTGTCGTGGGGCAAGACTGCAAAGTCACAGTGAGCTATGGACTCTGAGGGCGAGCTCAAATTTGTTCGCTACTGTGCTCTGTGTAACTGTGAAGTTGTAGTAGTGCTACGGTGAGGCAGGTCCCTGGATCCCGGCTTAGGAAAAGGGGTAATTTTCATTGACATTACGGGGCACGGAGGTTTATGGCAGTAATAAAAGAGGGAGGAAGGGTTAAGGCAGGCAGGACGGAGGGCCGGTGGGGGCATTAGGGGCAAGGAAGGGAAGGAGGGAGGGGAAATGTCTTAGGCAGAGGAAGAGGGGAATCCGGGAGATGGAGGGAAAGAGACTACAAAGCAAAGAGGAGGAAGCTGAGAATTAGGGAAAGGGGAAGGTGGACAATTGTATGGCCGATATCCGTCTTTCCCCTCCTGTCCATTCTTCCATGTGGCTTTACCTGTGACAAGTTTCGAGAGTTCTACTCCGGCATTCGAGCCTGCAGCCAGGGCTTTTTTTTTTCCTGGGGATGGTAGTACAGCCGGGACTGTTGATGGTGGCGGCCCGCATGGCCACGGAGCCCTCACAAGGAGACAGTGTTTGAGAGGTGGTATATTGGCATCCCTAACACCAGAGCCACACATAAACCGGCTAACGTCGACAGCATATGCAACGCTGGCAAACATTAGAACTCCATTTGTAAATGGAATTAAGGAATTTTTTTTAAAGACAAACCTGAAACATAAAATTAAACTTGGAAATGTTTAGTCCATTAATCACCGTCTTCGCTCATTGGTCGGTGTCTCGGCGCGTTATCACACACTGCGAACATTGGCTGTCGGTCTATGACGTCAACATTTGGGTTGTGCTTATTGGCTATCGGCCTATGACGTCAACATTTGGGTTGTGCTTATTGGCTATCGGCCTATGACGTCAACATTTGGGCTGTGCTTATTGGCTGTCGGCCTATGACGTCAACAGGCAAATCGGCGTAGATGACGTTGCAGGATTTGAAGCCGTGTCGTTCCTGGGCGTAAGTTGTGTCGTTCAGGGAACTTGATCCCTCCCGCCTTGCCCGGGGGCCGCGTTGGTCGGCGATTTTATGTGGTCGAGCCTGTTTGTGTGTGTGTGTGTGTGTGTGTGTGTGTGTGTGTGTGTGTGTGTGTGTACTCACCTAGTTGTACTCACCTAGTTGTGTTTGCGGGGGTTGAGCTCTGGCTCTTTGGTCCCGCCTCTCAACCGTCAATCAACAGGTGAACAGATTCATGAGCCTATCGGGCTCTGTCATATCTACACTTGAAACTGTGTATGGAGTCAGCCTCCACCACATCACTTCCTAATGCATTCCATTTGTCAACCACTCTGACACTAAAAAAGTTCTTTCTAATATCTCTGTGGCTCATTTGGGCACTCTGTTTCCACCTGTGTCCCCTTGTGCGTGTTCCCCTTGTGTTAAATAGACTGTCTTTATCTACCCTATCAATCCCCTTCAGAATCTTGAATGTGGTGATCATGTCCCCCCTGTGTGTGTGAGTGTGTGTGTGTATAATTACCTAAGTGTAGTTACAGGATGAGAGCTACGCTCGTGGTGTCCCGTCTTCCCAGCACTCTTTGTCATATAACGCTTTGAAACTACTGACGGATTGAAAGTACTGTAGTCACCTAATTGTGCTTGCGGGGGTTGAGCTCTGGCTCTTTGGTCCCGCCTCTCAACCGTCAATCAACTGGTGTACAGATTCCTGAGCCTATTGGGCTCTATCATATCTACATTTGAAACTGTGTATGGAGTCAGCCTCCACCACATCACTTCCTAATGCATTCCATTTACTAACTACTCTGACACTGAAAAAGTTCTTTCTAACGTCTCTGTGGCTCATTTGGGTACTCAGCTTCCACCTGTGTCCCCTTGTTCGCGTCCCACCAGTGTTGAATAGTTCATCCTTGTTTACCCGGTCGATTCCCCTGAGGATTTTGTAGGTTGTGATCATGTCCCCCCTTACTCTTCTGTCTTCCAGTGTCGTAAGGTGCATTTCCCGCAGCCTTTCCTCACTGTGTGTGTGTGTGTGTGTGTGTGTGTGTGTGTGTGTGTGTGTGTGTGTGTGTGTGTGTGTGTGTGTGTGTGTGTGTGTGTAGCCTTGGCGGGAAGGGGACGGGTGACCGTGGCTGGTACTGGAAGGTGCTGGGATGTACTGGGAGGTGCTGGGAGGTGCTGGGATGTACTGGGAGGTGCTGGGATGTACTGGGAGGTGCTGGGATGTACTGGGATGTGCTGGGATGTACTGGGAGGTACTGGGAGGTGCTGGGATGTACTGGGAGGTGCTGGGATGTACTGGGAGGTGCTGGGATGTACTGGGAGGTGCTGGGATGTACTTGGATGTGCTGGGATGTACTGGGAGGTGCTGGGATGTTCTGGGAGGTGCTGGGATGTACTGGAAGGTGCTGGGAGGTGCATTGGTCCTGTATTCTGACTGTAATATATAATAGTGTGAGGCCCCGGCTGGCCCAGCTAGGGTACATTACAGTGTATTATGGCCGGATGGGCATCCTGGCCTCCCTCACCTCTCCCCAACACAGCCTCCTTCACCCCCCAACACAGCCACCCCCACCCCCAACATAGCCTCCTCCACCCCCTACACAGCCCCCTCCACCCCCAACACAGCCTCCTCCACCCCCTACACAGCCCCCTCCACCCCCCACCTCCCCGGACGGCCGTTCACTCACCACAGACAAATTCGTTCAGTTGTGTTAGGCTCACAAAGGCCTATAGGCTGTGTCTGGAGCCTCCAGCCGCCAGCACTACGGGGTGTAGGCCCGGAGAATAGGCCTTGGAGGCCACCGGTGAGCGAAACATTATGACCGCGCGGCCTAAACATCTGAACACACTATGCCTATCGTGGCTTCAGTTGCAAGCTACCAGTTGATCTCAACCAACCAGTCACGACAACTGTGTGTGTGTAGACATGGAGCACTCGGGGGACAAGGTGACCAGGAACTGGATGGTGAAGGTGTGAATAGTGTGTGATGGATGGTGCCACAGATGCCAGGGGGGGGGGTGATGGGTGACGCTTTGGGGTACCTGGGCACTGCCTGCCGCCCTCGCCCCCAACGTCATGCCCACGTGCCCCCTGCGTGCCCAACCAAGGACCTAACTCCTCCAAATTCGTACATAACGATGTGGCAGCTTGAGGGTAAAATTCCCAATTCTTCAGATTGGGCTGGGCTCCGTGGTCGTGCCCAGGGCTCCGTGGTCGTGCCCAGGGCTCCGTGGTCGTGCTCAGGGCTCCGAGGTCGTGCCCAGGGCTCCGTGGTTGTGCCCAGGGCTCCGTGGTTGTGCCCAGGGCTCCGTGGTCGTGCCCAGGGCTCCGTGGTTGTGCCCAGGGCTCCGTGGTCGTGCCCAGGGCTCCGTGGTCGTGCCCAGGACTCCGTGGTCGTGCCCAGGGCTCAGTGGTCGTGCCCAGGGCTCCGAGGTCGTGCCCAGGGCTCCGAGGTCGTGCCCAGGGCTCCGTGGTTGTGCCCAGGGCTCCGTGGTCGTGCCCAGGGCTTCCTGCTCTGTAGGCTGACGTACTGAATATTAGGATATTTAAGTATTTGTAGAAATAACAGTCCATCCTCCAGAAATTATAGTACTTTTCTGTATCAAAAAGTAAGCCACTTTTGTGCTGTCTTTTATAGAGTCCGCAAAAATAAAGCTTAAGGGCCAAACTGTAATATTCCTCGGTCTAGTATACCACATGTACTATACGAGGCCTTGTCATGTACCAGGTCTGGGGTGGTTGGGTCTTGTTAGTAACAGGAATATAAAATCTTTTACGGTTTGTCCATATTCAGTAATACAAACGGTAACTTTCTGGTGGGCGGGGCGACACTCTGGTGGGCGGGGCGACACTCTGGTGGGCGGGGCTACACTCTGGTGGGCGGGGCTACACTCCAGGAGGGCGGGGCTACACTCCAGGAGGGCGGGGCTACACTCCAGGAGGGCGGGGCTACACTCCAGGAGGGCGGGGCTACACTCCAGGAGGGCGGGGCTACACTCCCCCAAAGCACCAAGATGCTCAGGTTAATGACTACAAACTCAATGTTTCAAGTCACTGGGACGGGGAGCACAGTTATCTGTGAACCAAGATAACCGTTTTCACACACAAGTGCCACAAACACAGAGTGCCAAATAGTTTCAATGGGGAGCAACACTATTAATAAAGACTAAGATGCTTAGGTCAAACTTCGGTATTTCGCTTTCGAAGTGTCGCGTTGTCGAGGTGCTGAAGGAGACGGTTAGCCTCGAGTAGTTAGTCCACCTGGGGGTGCGGAGTGGTGATGGGGGGGGGGACGCTCGTTATCAGGGGCAGGGGGTGATGGTGGAGGGGCAGGAGGACAATAACGGGTTGAGAGTGGTGGGGAGCTGTGAGGGCCGGACACCAGGCACGGGCGCCAGTAACAGGAACCTGGTGCTACTGTTACATGCGGGCACACACGTGTAGCAGTGTGCTCCTTGCGGCACCCCCTTCCCCCCGACCCTCCCTCCTCCTTTCTCCTTGTTCCTCTTATTGCTGCTGTACCTCCTGCTGCTGCTAGTGATCTTGCTGTACCTCCTGCTGCTGCTAGTGATCTTGCTGTACCTCCTGCTGCTGCTAGTGATCTTGCTGTACCTCCTGCAGCTGCTAGTGATCTTGCTGTACCTCCTGCTGCTGCTAGTGATCTTGCTGTACCTCCTGCTGCTGCTAGTGATCTTGCTGTACCTCCTGCTGCTGCTAGTGATCTTGCTGTACCTCCTGCTGCTGCTAGTGATCTTGCTGTACCTCCTGCTGCTGCTAGTGATCTTGCTGTACCTCCTGCTGCTGCTAGTGATCTTGCTGTACCTCCTGCCGATGATGATCTTGCTGTACTTATTGTCGGAGTCTTCTTGTAAGAGCCACAAGATGTGACCCTTTGATGTCTCTGAGGATGAAAGTCTTCCTGTAAGAGTACAGTTATCGTGGCTCTACTGGCTGATGACTGACCTTCTATTGCTGCAGTAGTAGTCACTGGTCCTTTGTACTGACAGCCGATTATCCACTCATAATTATACAGACATTTCCCAATTGGAACTTTCTCCCTATAGCCAAGTTTTAGTCCGTAATATTTACTACTCTCATCCATGTCTTGGTGCCCATATGGTGAGACAGAATGTCTTGTGAGCCATGTCTTGTCTCCAGTGCCCTCCGCCCCCACCTCCTGCACTTTAAACTTGCAGGAGGGACAAGGTAGTGAGGCTGAGACGCAACACCTCGAACGCGTGTTTGGGTGAGGTGCAAGATTCCTCCTCCTCCTTCCCTGGCCAGGCCGGGGTGGGGGGGGGGGGGGGTAAGGGGTTCATAATGAACCCAGGGTATGATGATACCTTACAACGACCTACAATGCTGGGTTTGTGTTATTTTATAATTACATTAAAAGCCGGCTGAATCGGGTATTGAACGCACAACAGTAACTGCAGACTGTATAACTGTAACTGTGTATTGGTACCACTTAGAGTGGTACCAATATAAACAGAACGTCAGTAGGAATCAGCGCAGTGGTTCATTTGACCTATTCTGGGCATTGTCGACTTAGATCAAACTCCTCCCTTTCCCCGCATGTACCTAGCAAGCCTATTTTTGAAGCTAACGCCAGTATTTGCCGCTATAACCATAGCAATGCCGGGGTCGAGGGTTCGCGCCCAACCTCATTGCCTTAGGGTTTTTTTTTCTCATTTGCCTCTATGGTAATGCTGATAACCTCTTCGTTATTCCTCCAAGGAGTGCCGGACCAACCGGGCTGTGGTGGGTCTGTGGGCCGCTCCAAGCAACAGCCTGGTGGACCAAACTCTCACAAGTCAAGCCTGGCCTCGGGCCGGGCTTGGGGAGTAGAAGAACTCCCAGAACCCCAGGCTACCTTGAGGCTACGTTGAGGTGCTTCCGGGGCTTAGTGTCCCCGCGGCCCGGTCGTCGACCAGGCCTCCTGGTTGCTGGACTGATCAACCAGGCTGTTAGACGCGGCTGCTCGCAGCCTGACGTATGAGTCACAGCCTGGTTGATAACCCCATCAACCAGGTATCACTCGTCTATCAGCCTTACACCAGCCCATCATGACCCTCCAGGTTGCGGGGTTCTACGGGTTATACCCATTGTATATACCCAGCCCAGGTCAGCCTCTGACCTGGGCTGGTCATCTAGAGAGCTGGGTCACATCTTCCCCTGTTGATACCTTGAAGACCTCGATCATGTCTCGTCTCTCCCTCTCCAGGGAATGTGGGCCCAACTCCCTCGACTTGTGTTCCCATGGCAAGTCTCGAGTACCAGAGTTTTGTCTTGTTAAGCGACGTTGTATTTTCTCGATGGAAAGTCTTTAAGTGACCGCCAGCGAAAGACACTGAATTATAGACCGATTCTACCGACAAGCTGATGGCTTCCTGTCCCCCGTCGAAGCCACTGGAGATGGTGACTGGTAAATTCAGGAACACATGAAATGGAATAGTCACACCGTAAAGAATCTCTTACATCTTAAACTATGGTCGTGGGAGCGGCAATTATAAGAAATCGAAAATAATGGAGTTCCACCTTTAAATAATATGGCTAGAGAAAGGCAAGTTATAATTACTCGAGCACCAATTTTTTTATTATTAATGTACGTAGCATACGTGTACATTTATGCAGCATTTATGAATTAAATTTCAACAAATTTACTTCACTGATGGGCCTCCACTCTTTTACACAGAAGAGTGGAAGTACCTTGCACTCGAGTCCAAACTTGACACGTTAATTATAAATGATTCGTTGTCATCCTTGACTGCCCTCAGCTTTCCAGGGCATAACTGTGACGTGCTTTTGTTTGAAGCTAGACACAGATGTGATAAAATCATCAATGATGAAGTGAGAGTTTGTTTCCTGTGGATTCCTTACCATATTGGTCCCCGAATGCATGATAGAACTGATGAGTTGGACAAGACATTTGCTCATAAAGAGGGAATTGATTACGATCTTGGACTGCCTTTGAGCAGCCTGAGGGCAGCAATATTCCGGGAACATATTCAGGAAAATCTAGACCACTCGAGGTAAAGTGAAATTCTCACCAGTTACTCCATCTATCATCATTCTATTCATCATCCAATGAGGTTAGTAGACTTCTAGATGTTACCACTGCTAGGCTTAGGCTCCGCTACAAGTTCCTCTGAGAGTTAGCACCATCTGCTGATTCAGACTTGACTTCATGTAAACTCTGTCAGCAGAACTATTCGCATACTGTGCGTCATTATATAATTAATGCGAAAAAATCGCGAAATTGAGAGGTACAGTAACTATCAGTGGTATTCAAAATATTTCTAA